GTCGCCTCCTCTTTGAGGTGGTCAAAAAAGAAGTGACATTGGACCGTCTTCTCACCCACCTGCAGGCGTAAGTGGAGAACCGAGAGCACCATTTTCCCCCATCCTCAGAGCTGGTGACTCTCACATCTTCCTGCTCTTCCTCCCACAGGACAAATGCCCAGCTGCAGCTGAAGGCGATGGCTCTGCTCATTGCGCTGCTGCTGAGCGCGACCGACGCCGAGCGGCGGGTGAGGAGCACCATGGCAGAGTGGTGGCATTGCAGAGTCAGGCACCACAGTGCCTCTGACACCAGGGTGCTCTGCTGAGAACCCTCAGCTGTCAGGACTTCTTGTCTCAAATGACAGAAGAATCACATTTGGTGGTGGCACAGTGATTGTGATGACCCAGCCCCTGGCACATCTGAGCTCTCAGGGTGGGCCCTCCTTGGGCAGCTGGGTCCTCTGCTGTGGGGTTTGTACTCTTTGGGATGGCAGGGATGCAGGAAGTGCCCAGAGATGTTTAAAGTCTGTGTCCTAACTCTGCCTCCTTCTTTTTGGGGGAGGAAATGGTGGTGTGCTGAGCTGGGGAATATCTCACAGTCTTTTTTTTCCCTAGGACATGATGGACTACCTGAGGGAGAAGAACATCAGGCAGTTTATCCACAAGGTGAGGAGCTGGGGTTGTGCAAGGATCTGCTCTGTGTTTCATTCTCTGTCCTTTCTCCCCAGACCCTGCCCCCTGGGCCCCAATCTTTGGTGATGGTGCTTGGCTGGGTTGCCTGTGTGCCCCATACCCCATCCTTGGGAATGCCTATGGGTGCTGCTCTGCTGGCACCCACGTGCCCAGGGTTGCACCCCTTCTGCCTGAAGTTCAGTGCACACAGATCTTGCCCAACCCCAAGGGGAGTTTCCCACTTCCCAACACTCCTTTGAGCAGCAGGACCTGCTGAGATTTGGCTGTTGGGTCCTGTGCTTGGACTGGAAGCAACAGCATGGGGGAACCTTCTGTCTCATGATCTCCTGTAGAACATTATCCACAGCTCCGAGCCACTGGGGGATGAGATGGCCCATTATCTTTACGTGCTGCAGTCTGTCAGCCTCAACCTGTGCGAGCATCGCATGAAAATGTCCATGGATCCCTACTCACAGGTCTGGGAGTACTCTCCTTGCAAGTCTGGACCTGGTCTCTTCCACCTGTGGAAGTAGTTCACATTTGGGTGAACCCAACACATTTGGGTTTGCCTGGGAGAACCTGCTTCTGTGGGGCTCACTGGCATCCCCTCCTCTCCACTCCCCCTCCAGGAACAGCGGGATCTCCTCCACTCCCTGCGCCAAACTGCTTTTGAGTCGGAGAGCGAGGTGCCTGCTGGCACCTTCAGCACCGAACGCCGGCGATCCCTGTGTGCCAAGGAATTCCGCAAGCTGGGCTTCGTGGTGTGTTTACCCTGCATCCCCCCAAGCCCCCAGCTGGCTCCACTACATGGCCTTGGTGGCACCTCCTGATGGCTCCCCTAAGCCTGGTGTCCCTGTTGATGCTGATGGACCATGCAGTACCTCCCTTCTGCTCCCTCAGCACTCCTGAAGAGCGAGTGCTGTGGAGCTGCTGGGACTGAAAGGCACACCCCATGGATGTGTTGGGAGGACACTGCTGCTTGAATAACAAAGCAGCAGCTGCTAAGTTGCATTCTTTGTGTCCTCCTAGAATAACAGCAACCCAGCAGAGGATCTCCACCGTGCCCCACCAGGACTCCTTGCCCTGGACAACATGGTGTATTTCGCCAGGAACACCCCTAATGCCTACAGCAGGGTAGGTGCTGTGCTGTCCCAGGGAACTCCCTGGTGGAGAAGTGCTGGTGGATCTCTACCTTCTTTTCCTCTCCTTGTGATCCTGGGTCTTTGGCCACACCCAGGCAAGTGTCCTATTGTTGCTCTGTTTCAGATGGAGACAAGTCCTTCTTGTGGGTAGGAGAAGCCATTTGAGGCCAGTGCCTCTGAAGGGTCCCCATAATTTTTAGGGGTTTGCTTACAGCTTGGTTTCCAAGCCTTGCGCAAACTGGGGCAGTTTGGGCAAAACCAGCAGGGCATGAGCTGTGCTCCAACCTGCAGTGCCTGTGACCAGCTCCCACACTGCCACAAGGGAAGGAGGAGGCTGGGGCTGGATTTTGGGAAGAGTGGGTCACTTGTGTTAGCGATGGCTTCACCCTTTGGCAGGACAGCTTGACTAGGAGGAGTGTAGCATGTGTGACACCCACTATTGGGGCAGCCCTCCAAGTCCATGTAACATGAGGTTATGGCCCTCTTCTACAGTTTGTCCTTGAGAACAGCAGCCGGGAAGACAAACACGAATGTCCCTTTGCTCGAAGCAGCATCCAGCTCACCCTCATCCTCTGCGAGATCCTGCACATTGGAGAGCCGTGTACGTGTGCCCAAGCTTGTTCTCCTCCCTGCCCTGCTGCTTGGGGGACAAGCTCCCAGGATGGGGGACTACATCTGTGTGGCCACCAGGCTCTGGCATGGCTGACAGCATGGGAAGGGGATGTAGGGCTGGGAAATACCCAGGTTTCCCTGGACACTGAAATCCCCTGGAAAAGCTTGGGAGTCTGGCTTCATCTGTCCTTCTCACCACAGGCTCGGAGACGGCTCAGGCCTTTTACCCTATGTTCTTCGGGCAGGATCATTTCTTTGAAGAGCTATTCTGCATCTGCATCCAGTTGGTGAACAAGACCTGGAAGGAGATGAGAGCAACCCAGGAGGACTTTGACAAGGTGAGGGGATGACAAAGTCTCTGGATGGGAGTACAGATTCAGGGATTTGGGGAGTGTCACCAAACTAGAGTTGATGTGCTGGGCCTGGCAGGTGATGCAGGTGGTGCGGGAGCAGATCACCAGGATCCTGTCCCTCAAGCCCACATCCCTGGAGCTATTCAAGACCAGAGTGAATGCACTGAATTACAGTGAGATCCTGAAGCTGCGGCAGACGGAGCGGCTGCACCAGGAGGAGACACTGGCTGTGCCTGTGCTGTGAGTGGGCTGTGGGCAGGGAGTGGGGCCGTGATGGGGGCCTGAGGCAGGGACAAGGCTATCGGGCTGGGAGGTCAGCGAGTGCCTCTTGAAATCGCTGTGCTCCTCTTCTGCTGGCTTTCACCCCAGGGAACTGCGGGAGAAGCTGAAGCCGGAGCTTCTGGAGCTGATCCGACAGCAGCGCCTGCTGCACCTCTGCGAGGGAACCCTCTTCCGCAAGATCAGCAGCCGCCGCAGGCAGGGTGGGTGCCACAACCCTGCTCCAGGGTGGGGGGCCTGGCAGGGGGACAGAGCCTTATTCCCATGTCTGCTGCCACCGGGGAAGTCCAGTTAATCTGTGGGAATAGAATGCCAACTCCCTGGACAGCTGATACGGGCTAAACCCATGGGCTGGGAGGAATGGGGAGTGCTGATAAGGAGGCAGCTCGATCCCCCTTGGGAAGGGCATCTCTGCAAGGGGAGGCTGAGAATTTCTCATGGCTCTTCTGCTGCAGACAAGCTGTGGTTCTGCCGCCTGTCCCCTAACCACAAAGTGCTGCACTATGGGGACGTGGAGGAGGGGGTGCAGTCTCCCCCCATCGAGAGCCTGCCAGAGAAAAGTAGGTGATGGAGGGAAGAGAGGGTGGGAAGGAGGGAGGGGAGCCTTCTGATAACCTCCAGGTTAGGACTGCCTTAATGTGGGAGTTGCCCCTCTGCTTGGCTGCTGCATGGCTGTCCCAGTGTCTGCTGGTATGGTGGGACTGGGAGCTGTGGGAGTTCAGGCTGGGGCAGACTGGCTTCCCAAAGGGTGCTGAGTGGCTTGAGCCCCCCAGCCCAAGCTGTGGATGGCTGTGAGTCCTCACATTTGGGTTGTACTGGGTTCTGCGCACGGGGGATCTGGAGGAGGGGGAGGAGAATGGGAAGAGGGAGTTTATAGCTCCTACACTTGCCCCAGTTCCTGTGGCGGACATGAAGATGCTGCTGGTGGGGAAGGAGTGTCCACACACAAAGAGCTCTGGGAAGCAGAACAAGGTCAGCACCTCACACCCTATCCTGTCCAGCTGGGGATGGGGTTTGGGAATGGGTGGATGGTGGCAGGTTGCATGGTTTCATGGACAGAGACCTCTTGGTTCTCCTGGAGTGCAGAGGAGGAGGCTGGGTGCAGCTCCTTCTCTGAACCCTACCAGGGCTGGGAGGAGTCCAGCTGAGAAGCCAGCTACCCACTATGCTGTCCCTGCAGGATGTCCTGGAGCTGGCCTTCTCCATTGTGCACGATGTGGAGGAATGCTGCCTCAACTTCATTGCCCCCACCCGGTACGAGGTGAGCTCCAGGGGCCTGCTGGGGTGGCACACAGCGCCCAAGATGTCTCTGCCAGGGGACAGCAGTCAGGGGAGTGAGCTGTGTGTGTCCCTGGGCAGTGGAAGCCACAGCAGGCTGGCTGCCCAGGGCTGGTGCCAGAGATGCTCATGCTCTGTTTCCCCAGTTCTGCCTCTGGACGGATGGGCTGAATGTGCTGCTGGGCAAGGAGATGACAAGTGAGCGAACACAAACAGACCTCGATGTTCTGCTGTCCATGGAGCTCAAGCTGCGGCTCCTGGACCTGGAGAACATCAGCATTCCCGATGACCCCCCTCCCATCCCAAAGCCCCCCAGCAACTTAAACTTCTGCTATGACTTTAGCCATGCAGAGCAGTGAGTTCCTCCCTGTGCCCTGTCCCCACCCTCTATACCCCTCAAAATCAAGCCCCTCCCTCCAGGCTCTGTCCCTCATCTCTGGCCCAAAGGGACAGGCCAGGTGCTGGCTGGGGGCTTGGGTGTCCCACCCTTCCCTGTCTGTGTCCTGCTCTCCTGCAAGAGCATGGGAATGAGCCACCAAGCATTAGCCTTCTGTTCAAGGCGGGTGACCTGGCTGCTCTGCCCCCCTGCCACTGGGAGGTGACATGACATATAGAAAGTCAAACCCCTGTGTGGTGGCACTAATTCCCCCACACTGCAGCCGGGCTTTGGGCAGAGAGGGCAAGGATGTGGACTGGAATAAAGATACAGGTAGCCCTGGGATAGCTGGAGGGGGAGTAACACTACAAAGGTACGAATCTGCACTGCCTCACTTTCGCCACCAGTGTAGGGGATCCTTTCTGGACAACAAAGTGGTTAGAAAAAGGATGGAACACACCTTTCCATTAAGTTTGTCAAGCATATGGCATCTGCAGGGCACTACGTGCCTGCCCTGACAGGCCCCTCCTGCACTGAAGGCTGTTTTTGCCAAGCCCTCTGCCCTGTCCTGGAATGGGGGTGTTTAGGGTACAAGCCATCTTTTCCCAGCACCGTTCAGCTGGGCCTGGTGTGAGGAGGAGACTCTGGTCTGCCCATCGTGCCAGTTGCGGTGCCTTCCCCACCTGGGGCGGATACTTGCACACTTCAGCCATGCTGCTGCACTACTGCACCACGACAACCTACCTCCTCCCCAGCCCCACAGCCCCCACCCCAGTGCCCTGCACCTCCTCGTGCCTGCAGCTTCTCCCAAGCGTGTTGTGCTAACAGCCACAGGTCTGCAGGGATCCACCGTGCCTCTGTCTCCTGGGTATTGGGACAATAAACACTTGTGGAGAACTCGGAGCCGTCTCCTTTCCAAAGGTTTGGGGAAGGGCTCAGACAGACTGAGGGTCAAAAGGGGCCAGAGTGGGTAAGGCTGGGATGGCAGCACCGTGGGAGTTGTGCATGAAGATGCTGGAGGATGGCTGGCAAGATCTTGTTCCTGGTGTTGAGGTGCAGGCTTAGAGTCAAGCTCCCTATAGCTAAGACTACAGCAAAGACCATTTCCAGCCTAGGAAGGCTGGGAACACTGTGAGTGGTCCCAGTTACATGCTGGGCAACCTTTCTGTTCCTTTCCGTTCTTACTCGCACAGTGCAGAAGTTCTTCCCAGTTCGCTCGCCCAGAAAGGGCGTGGAGTCTCCCTCACTGGAGATACTCAAAAACCGCTTCTGGGAGGACTCTGCTTGAGCAGGGAGCTGGGACCAAGAGATCCTTTATAACCGCACTATTCTGTGATTCTGTGGGAGGATCCCAGGGTAGGGCCAACCCCTCCCGGTTCTGTCCCGCCCCGGTTCTGTCCCGCCCGGGCCGGTTCTGTCCCGCCCGGGCCG